AGATCTTAAAAACGTAGTTTATTTTTGTACAGGAGAAGCCCTCTCTGAGAAGTACAGCATCAGTATTGTCCATGGGGAGAACTCTGTGGCTCCTCAGTGATGTTTCAGAGAAGAGTTTTAGCAAATCTCCCTTGGCATTAAAACCAGGAAGTGGACACCTGATGTCCAGTAACCTTTGACACTTTTTCTCTAATGTGCTCATCTGTTGCTGGAGAATGTTGTCTTGACTGAAATCTCCGGAGGTGTGGTAACAGCCAAGCCCAAAATGTTTGCAGCGAGTACTGACTGTGGTAACTTTCCTCAAAATCCACAGATGCATGCAGCTTCCAAATACCACCAAAGCATCGGCAGCTTGGATTTCAGATTGTAAGCATCCTCAGTATAATGCAGGCACAGGACTTTGAGGAGTGAAGTTAGTTTTGTGTTGGATTAAAACTGTCTTGTTTTGAAGCAAACTTGGGCAAGTTATAGGAATGTGTTCTTGATATAAGCAGTCTTATTCTATGATCATTCCCAATAACTTGCCAGTTTTACCCAAACCCAAGATAAATGGGCTGCTTTAAACCGTTCTGAAGTAGCTCACAAGAGACATGATTGTCCTATGTTTCTGGAAGATTGAACAGGGCACTACATGACTACATGGTTATAAAAATGAATTTTTTAATAGTTCATTGATGACATCATGGACTTCCACTTAGCAACTTAAAACCAAAACAAAATCTGAACTAACTAACAAAAAGAATGTTTGTTTGAATATTACTGATGATTTTTTTTTCTTTCAAAAAGGGAGAAGACTGTAAGTCTAAATAGCATTTGCATAGTAGATATTTTTAGGATAATGTACAGCAATTTTATTTTTTTAATGATGTTTCCAGGAAATTAAAAAAAAAAAAATCTTATCTGACTACTCAGTATTTGAACATCTAAGTTTGACATTGTCATGTATTTACTGCTAGCAAGGTTTCCCCATATAAGGCTTGCTTCCATAATCTGTTCAGGCAGCTTTGTTGCCTCTCCTACAGTGAAAACATATTCAAGGATGCCTTTGTTTCAGCAGCATTTTGTTTAGCTTTCATTCTTGTTTCATGCGAATTACGCAAAACTTTCTTAGAAATGGCCTTTTGTACTTCAAAAAGGGAATGAGTGAAATAATTTTGAATTAGAGGAATGTGTTATTATAGTTGTATTTAAAAGGAAAAGAGTGTTATGTTCTTTGAAATGCATCTTTAAAGACATTCTCTCCCCCATAATTGAGTTATTTAAATAACCTTTTAAATAGAAAAATAAGTGAGAATGTTGTTTGGGGTTTTGAGTTGAGTTGTAGTAGCAGGTGTATGACCATTGAAGTGTTCTGTAACTGAAAGCACTGGATTCTACTTGCCAATGAAGATGACGCTGTGGCCATAAACAGGGTGTTTCATTGTCACTGTGTGATTTCAGTGTGGTACTTCAGAGACATGGGTGGCTTTCATGCTTTGGCTTTTATTGTTAGAGTGTTCTTTTTCATTCATGAGAATGATTTAGGGTGGTACATAGCATTTGCACACCTTTGTTGCCTGGAGGAAATTAATTCTCCAGAGGATTTACTAGTGAGATCTTACCAGAATAGACACCTTGTACTTTATGAGAACAATTTGTCCTCCTAACAGACTGGGGTATGATACTAAATAGTATTTATGTTAAGGAGAGACTGCTTTTTAAAACATGAAAAACATGTTGAAAGAAGGCAAAAGGGGAACCCACCTTGGACTTGACTTGCTGCTGAAATAGTGAAGCAAAATGATCCATTACCAATCAATTAGGATCATTAACAATGAAGGGATAAGACAATGTGTTTCCATGGAACATAACTTCTAGGCTGATAAATATTTTCTCTCTCCAAACAAAAACATCGGTGTTACACAGCCTACATACCTATGAGAAGCTTAAAGTCATAAATACTGAATTTGCCTTTTTGTTTTGTTCTAGTTATTAAGGGAATGTAAATCTATGTGCATCTCACTCTGTGTTTGATACTTATGACTTGAAACAATGATGTTTTTCGTCATTGTTTTTGGGGTCTTAGCTTCCCCACATATGAAACACAAGAAAGAACTTCCAAACTTACCAAGGTAGTAAGACGACCAATAATCTGTAAAATTGTATAAGGAGAACTGATTTTTCTTCCTTAATATTAGGATATTTGCCAGTAACCTATTGTCTAATTGCATGGTCCTTTAGTGTTTAATATAATGAGAATGAGCTAATACATTACTGGAGGTTTTTTAAGACAGTTTTATTTTTGAAATACAAATTTACTGTCTGTTAGCTGAACTACCTTGAAGACTAATGGAAGCTTGTTGCCCATCTAAAGCATTTTTCTTTAATACATCAGAGTAGGAAGTTGGTTTTATTTTTGGGAGGGAAAACAAAATCCAGTAAAAAACCCCAACAAATTGAGGGGTTGCTTTGCATTAAAGCATAGCAAATAGGGCTATACCTTCCATCTCTTCCTTGAAGCAACTGCACACGACTGGCCTTGCTAAGACCTCGCAGCACTGTGTAGCATCTTGGCTACTCTTATCTTTGTCCAAAAGGATGCAAAGCATATGGGCATCATAACACCCTGGCAGTGGCATTCCAGCATTCCTGGATTTCTCTGTTCCTTACTTTATATTGCTACCGAATACTGGATTAAAAGTTCACTCTTCTTATTTCTAGTCCCTCATCCTTTTCTTTTATCAAAAAGTATCAAGTTGTACAAAACAACTGAGGATTAATATTTGTTTTCAAAGTAAGGGTAGCCAGTGCTCCCAGCACCTGCATTCATTGGCATTGTTTCTCCATTTTATTTCATAAAAGTAGAACACTCACGTGCAAGCATAGGCTAAGAGACATTTCTGATTGTCATGTCCCATCTTCTGCCATTGCTGTAAGCAAATTGTGAAACTACTTTCATAAAGATAAGGCCATCCACAGTACTGTATAGACCTAGTGAAAAAGTGAAGAGTTCTGCCCAAAAATTGTCCTTTGGTTTCTATTTTACTTTGAAGTACTAAAGATCAAGAATATTGAAGACTAAAATCTCTTGGGTTGCAGAAGTTGTTAAACAGGTACTGAATTCTCCTTACAGGTGTATGCCAGCATGAGGAAAAGCATCCTACCATAGGAGAAGACAGGGAGCAGGAGTGCCGTGTAGATCTGTGTTCCCAGCTGAGCTGTGAGGGGCATAGGAATGAAAAATCTACTGATGCTCATCACCTTGCTCCTCATTCATACAGGAGGCTGCCACTGCAGTTGAATGCATGCCTAAAATGATAAAGTGATTGGCAGTATAAGTTTAATTAAAAATCTCTGTCTGTCACTTTGAAATAATAGCCTTTACTGCTCTTACAGAATTTGGCATGCTGGGTTTGAGAAGCTGTTGTTTAGAATTAGGGACTGGGGTCAAAGAAAGATGAGATATTTCCTTTGAAGAAGTTAAATGCTTCCCTGTACCTATATTTATTTTTAGGGTGAAATTGCTTAAATGTTGACAAGGATTTAAAGTGTCTCTGAAAGTACCCTGAACATTGGGAGTTGTGAGGTGTCACATTACCTATTCTGAAATAAAACAGACCAGACCAATAGCAAACAATTTCACCTAGTGTGCTGTTTACCTATCTGACTAGAATTGTTATTCCCCTAGTTAATATTCACAGAAAGCAAAGTTCCTGTTTAAGGGTACCCTATGTTTCCTTATTCAAGACAAGTATAAAGAAATACCAGGATCCTGCCTTGCATTTTGAATAGTCAGGAGAAACGGAATCTACTGCTGTGTCCTGATTGTTTGTGCTGCTTTCACATCGATCAACTAAATTGACAGTCAGGTCTAGTGTCCTGAGCAATGCGGTTTAGAATAACCATAAATTTGGGCTATTATCAGCAAATAGCTGTATCACTGAGTGTCAGTGCAGTTCAAAATATGGTCTAACAGCAAATTTCCTGCAGAGGCCAATCATGCCTTCCTTGTACAATGCAAATAATTATTTGTTGAGGTTATCCCCTTTTCAAGACTCACAGAAAGGTCTACAATGTTTTCCAGTGAGATGCTGAGATATTGTCCTTGTGCGTTCCTTAGTCTTTTGAGCCATGCTGAAACCAAAAGGAAATCAAGAATCCCAAGGGGAGCTCCTTCGGCACCTGAAAATGAATCAGTATGTCCAGCATGAACTGCCTTGTCCTGCCTCCTTTTCTTTTTCAACCTTAGATCTTATACAGGTGGCGACATCTGAGTTGCTGGTAGCAGTGAGAAATCTTTGTGTGTGTGTGTTATGTGTGTGAACATAACTATTCTGCATTTAAAAAGGAAAATGAGAACTTAAAGAACTGTTACATCTGAATCAAATATCTGTTTAAACAATGTGAAGGTCACCGTGTGCTGCTGATAGCCCTACCATAAGCTTGTTGATAGTTGTTTTTGTTAGTTTGTGTTCTCCATCTCTCTGCCACGTTGGAACATGTGCCTTAATGTGCCATATATTTATACGGCATCAGGCTGCTTTCTGCCACTGGATTTGTATCACTGTAAGAAAATGTAGAGGTGAGATTAAAAGAAAACTTAAAAGAAAGATAAAGGTTAGTTTGAAAAATGGCTTCTAAAGTTCAATGAAATTAAGGTACATAGACAACCTTGACACAACTTGTCATGTATGAACTTCTGTGTATGAGTGAGAGAGGTGGAATATTTTGGATGTAAATAAGTAATGGATGTTTTGAAATTACTGGGCTATAATCACTTTGAAAATCAGCAAGTCTTGAAAGATCAATTTGGTGCTTTACTTTCTATTGGGACCATTAAAAAAATGAAACATTTTATTTAATGAATAATGAAGAGGGGAGTGACTTAATAGGTTTTTTTCAACTCAGGTCATGAGACAAGATGGTCACTAAAGGTCTAAGTACTCTTGTTTGTTTTCTTAATAGTACATTTTATTGAAGACTGTTGTTGATCATTAATTCTTCTTTACGATGCTGAAGGTAGGCTTGGTTCCATGCTCATGTAAGTCCATAAAGGCTTCCATTATTTTCAGCAGCCTTTGCTTGGTCTTTGTATCACCAGTATTGCCCATTAACTGGCATAGTGTCTCTCTGGGACTGAAGGTACCTCTTAAGGTAAAAAAGGGAAATCCAATATTTACATATATGCAAGTGTCTGCACTTACATACTGCAATCACTTTCTTAAAATCTATTCACCGCCTTTTTTTTTTGGTCATCTTCCCCTCAGGACTCCATTAAGTGGCTTCCCAAGTCTCCTAAACTGTACAGTGGCCATAACTGGAGCTCCCAGGGCTCTCGCTGGGCCTCGTTGAAAGGAAAGGAAAGTTTTCGTGGTGGTAACCTGTACAAATTCAGCTCTTCTAGTGGAAGATGGAGGGAAGGAAGGAGCAGTCCTGAGCAAGAAGCAGAGGAACTCGAGGATCCTGATGATGTAGGTAGTCTCCTTGAAATCAGGAGGGAAAATGTGTATCCATCAAGAGTCTACAACTGCTTGCAGTGCTGTGCAGCCGAGCACTTTGGGTTTGTGGCAGGCTGCATTGCTTATATTCTCACATCCTTGCTTGTGCAGAGGGTACAGTATCGTGTTCAATGTTCTGTTCCTTTACTTTGCCTGCAATTCATCCATCCAACCCTCACGAGTACAGTTCAACTTGCAGGTTACAATGAATAACCTGAGTAATGATGAGACAGATATGGTTTTACTTTAATCCTACTTATATGCCCAGTTACCAACCTCCTCCATCTCTTTCAGGTAAATAGCACTCAAGGCTCAGTGTCTCCCTACTGGATGGTAGAAAAGTGAGCAGTACTACTCCACTGCATGTTTAGTTTTGGGTGGTGCTCTTCCAGGATGCCGATATTTGGGAAACCTGCATCCTGTGGTTTCTATAGCCTGTACCTGCCAGGTGTCTGTCACCTATGTGGCAGCCTGGCTCTCTTCTTGGTTATAGCCTGGGAAAAGAAGGTTGTGATTGCACTGCTGCAGTCTTTTCCTGTCAGGGCATTGCTCAACAGTCTTTTCTTCTGATGTCTGCTGGGAAATGAGAGGGAAATTTGGGCTCCTGCTCTTCTTCCAGGACCTTTGCTTCCTTACTAGCACCTGTGAGTGCTACTGGTGTGCCCTCTCCTTCAACCCCCAATCCTGGCTCTTGCTCCTGGCCTTTTTCCCTGCCCCTGTGGCACTGTAGAACTGCTGATGGGTCTGGGTTAGTCAGCCTGGCACTGTAAAGGGAATCTCTCAAAGAAAGATAATGAATGTTTTATGTGAGTTAAAGCTAAACAAATTCCCTTTTAAGTGAAAATAGGAAGCAGTCATGCCTTGTATGCTCTCCCTGGGGTTGGCAATGCTTTTTTCTATCCCAACCAAAAAGAGATTGTGGGAAAGTACTGATATAGATTGAAAAATATAGTGTCTACTGGGATTTTTGCAAAGATGTTCAAGGTAATGCCACTGCTTTTTATTTCTGCTATTAAACTTCCAAGCTTAGGAAAACACTTATCAGGCTTATTTTCAGAGATGTTGATCTGTGTTTGCTGTATCATTTTACTGACAACTCAAGATAGAAGGGTTTGGGCAATAGGAAGGTCTGATTCAACCTTAACCCAACAAAGTAGGGAGCAAAAATCAGCTAAATATAAACAAAACATTCATAAAATATGAGCAGAATTTGGACATTATGTCTGAATTTCATTTAACCCTTTGCTAAGCATAACTGATAGCTTGGAAATGTCATTGTGTTCTTCTGTTAAACTTGTCTGAAACTTTAATTGTTTGGTGCTTGTGTTTTAATTGGATGTGTTTTGATGATTTCTCTTTTTAAGCCCTTGTGGTTTAGCTAAGTGTAGGGTGATGTTTTCAGTTCCTGCATCTCAGAGGTGCAGTCTAGAGCCAGGCTTCAAAGCAGGCTTCAGGATGCCTCACTTTTGAGGTTCCATTTGCAGAGGAATTCCTAAATCACTTTAGTTTGCAGGTCTCCACTCACTGCCCTTTGCAACTGAATAAAGTCAATCCAATTACTGAAACAAAGTCTAGAGTCACATATGCAAGATGTAGGATTGCCTTCCCTCTCACACCTATGCTCCCAAAAATGGAATGTGAACCTTGAGGTATCATGAGAAATGTTTTATTTTCTGTATGGAAAGTTCTTTCCTTTGCCTCATGTGTGTGATTCCTTGCCCTGAGACAGTGGATTCAGTGCTACAGAGATGCCACGGACTGGCCAAAATAGTCTTGTTCTCATGCTCTGTCCTTTTTGTAGGGCATTGTAGGATTTAGTTGGGTATATGTGTGTTACATGTGCTTATGCATGTGCTCGGGGATCTAGTGAAAGGCTATATGAATCACAGTGCTCTCCCTGTTCCCCAGTATCAAGGGCAAAACATGCCCAGAGAAATAATGGTAAAAGAAATACTCATACATTTGCTGTAAAGTTATGGTTTTGTCTTCAGTGAAACAAATGCTACCATACAGCAATGGGATAGTGAGGAACAAATCCAGGTTACCGTGGGAAGGGACTGTGTATCACATAGATATTGTTCTTGCTGTATTTACCTTTTTCATCTTTAACCCCCAGGAACCTATTTCCAAGTTTTCCGGCAGTCTCTTTGATAGCAACGGTGGCATGAGAGATCAAAGAAATACCAGAACAACTCTTCAAGAAAAGCACAAGTTGGCAATGAAAGGGAAGACTCCTCCAGGGACTAACACTAAGGTGCAGCCAGCTGCCTCCTCAGCAGGCAGCTTCCCCAGCGAGAGCGGCCGGATCCCAGAGGAATTGAGGGTGATGGATGTGCCACAGACCCCGCTGAAGGTATTGAACTGCTGCATGGGCTGGGCTTGCTAGTGGGGTGGTTCTGTGTTTCTGTGAGGAAGTCCATGTGTCTGGGGTAGGGGGGTAAGTCCTCTTCTTGTGCATGGCAGTTTATAAAATATGCATAGAAGGGGAACATTGCATGGTAAATTTCATGAGACTTACCTTTCACAGAGAGTAAGATGAAGGTCATCCTTGCTCCCCCTGGCTTATGTATAAAAAAAATTTTCCTTTGAAAAAAACCCGACAAACTGACTTTCCTTGTCTCCATGCATCTCATTTTACATACCTAGCTTTGGTATTGTGAGCTTAAGTCAAGAGTTTGTGCAGGTGGGCACTCAGCTAAGTCTTTATTTAGTCTGTGGTTTTGGAGCAGTGGCATGGTCTTACCCTCATGTCATGAGAAAGCCTCCATCCTGTGAAAAGGGGTGGGAATGTTCAAGTGAAAATTTATCAGTGAGAACTGCAAGATTTTGGCTGAAAGTTATGAAAAAGCTATGGTCTGAACTGGATGGATATATCCCATCTCGGCATGCTCTGGAGGACATGAGTAGGAAACATACTTTATGGATTGTCTCTTGGGATGGTACAGGGTACACCTCTGCTGACTGCCTTTGGGGCAGGAGATATGGGATGCAACACCAGGAAAGGCAGCTTGCCCAAAAAGGGCACTGGTGCTGGGACCTGTCACCAAAGCACTGCTGGCAGCCACAGGCTTGTGAAGTGTTGAGCATACAGGTAATGCTACGTCTAAGCAACATGTGGCAGGGTGCTTTTCATTTGGCTGATATGATTTTTTCATATGTTTTAGGAATTAGGAACTTCAGATGAGTATGCTATATGTCCAAGAGTAACTGCATATGTTTGTTAAATTTACATAAATTTGTTAAAAGTAAAGATTTTTCATAAATTTGTCAAATAATATTTACTCTTCACTTCATCTGCGTACTGACAGGCACTGTTGCCATCGTGAATTCATTAGTGAATCTGTGGGTTTTAGGAAGCAACTGGTTTGGTCAGTAGCCTTATAAACAGCCTTATATACTTTTGGCATGACTCTAAAACCTGGAGAGATCACTGCATTCTTGCTGTTACCAAAAAGTAAAGACTAGTCTTGCATGTGCCAGTGTTGAAGCGTAGCACCATTCTTCTCTGGCCTGAGCTCTCTAGGGTCATGTCTGCTGGTGTTCAGACTGAGAGGTAGATTTTCAATGCTCATGTTGGCAATGTTTTTGATTAATCAGACTACTTACCCATTGTAATTCTTTTCCAGGTAACCATTACTGTGTGCAGTCCAATGGGGAGCCTTGGTATTAGCATTGCTGGTGGAAAGGGCTCACCCTCATGTAAAGACAGTGATGAGGTGCATTTCTTATTCAAAATTTATCTACTGATCATTAGAAATAGACTGATGAGTAGTTCTTTGAGCTGTTGTGTTTTGTTGTTTTCTTTCTGAGGTTATCCTTAATGTAACATTACTGTCTTTGTGATAAAGCTAACAAGGGTAAGCATGGGTAACTTATTTCCCAAAGTAGGAGCTGGCACTAGCTTTTGATGGGGAAGCTTCTGGAGGGATGATTATGGAGAGAAAACCCAATGCAAACCAGTGATTTTCCAGAGGCAACCTGATGGCTGAAACACTGTTGTCTAATTTCCATTTTCTGCCTCAATTTGGGGTCACTCCCTTGGCAATCCACATGCTCTCCCATCCCATTTGCTCATTCCCAGGAGCTAACTAGACTTGAAAGAAGTATTTCTCACAATTTCTCACTGAATTATCTTTTAAATAAATCTTTGTTTTCCATTATGTCCCCTATGGCACAGTCTAAACAACTACTGACTTTTGTTCATTATTGTATGTGTCAGCCACGGAGACTTCCTTTTTGGTCTTGCTAATATACTAAGGCATTTAGTTTTTAATTTTATAGAGGCAACAGAACAACAAGTCTTGAAAATTAATTACTTCCTACTTGCTTTTTATGTCTAAGAACAATGGAAGAAATTTTGTCAGGTCTAAAACCTGTCTTTTGTCTTACCAGGGGATCCTGATTGCACGGCTGCCAAAAGACAGCCCATCAGACTTGGCTGGGGTACAAGCAGGAGATAGAGTGGCTGAGGTAGATGTGTTGCTTTTCAACGAGGAGTGTGTTCTCTTGTTGTTGTCTTTAAATCAAGTCACTCAGAGTTGGGGAATTTGAGATCTAGATCTAGGCTTGCCTTAGCTTTTTAGATACTTATCATTATGAAGAAATTATAATGACATTAAATTGTTGTATTACTTCTTATTATATTCTGGTTGTCAGATCTTTATGTTCAAAGTGCTTAACAAAATATTATTCACTTAAACGACTGATTCGCATAGGAAACTAATGGTCTTAGTAAGCAGTTATGTAAGAACAAATGCAGTTGTACCTGGTCCAAGAAGCTTTCCTATGACATGGTATTAGATTTACTAGGTGAGTTCATTGCTGTTGTAACAAAGAAATATAAACTAGATGAGCTTGTTTCCCCAAGGTAATTTTTAATGGGGAGAGAACAGCTCAAAACAACTCCCTTGATGGAGGCTTACGGTGCCAAGTGCCGAGGAATAGATGTGTCTCTCGGGCTGCTCCACCTCAAGCCTCATCTTTCTCAGCAGACGCCACTCTCTTGATCTTCAGAGTTTCCCAAGAGCATGTATACAGTTTTGTGATGTGTATTTTAGATGTACTATTTGGTTTCTACCTGCTGAGAATGGTAGAGTAGGAGGGGACACTCTACAAAATTACTTTGAGGTGAAACTGGTCCATGACTTATTTTCAGCTCCTTCTCTTACACTGTCATTTATACTTGCGTAAATGAATACTCTTTACTCCAGCATACTCCATGTTGAATTAAGGTGGGACAGAGCAAACAATATTGTATGTCTGTTAAATTGTCAAGAATACAGATATAACCTCTGTCAGCTCAAGATTATTTAATAGTAAATTATTCAACTAATTTTGTCAAACTATGCTAGAGAATTATTAGCAGAGGATTGTGTTCCGTAATCCATATACTGTGTTAGCTTAACAGTTTTTAAAAGGTTAATTATACATAAAATTCTGTACAATTTTACAATTTTTCTTATATGAAAGGTATTTTAACAGATGTGAATTTAAATAATTCTTTACATATTTCACATAATCAGATCATCGGGGAAAAAAAATCAGGATTTTTAGTTGCTGAACCTTTACCTTCTGAACAGAGTTTCTGGTAAAGTCAGTATCTTTAACTCCTTTGGTCAGGTTCCCCCAAAAGGCTGTAATTAATTTCTTATTTTGGGGGCTATTTGGAATATAATAGCTGCTAATGTCTGTTCACTTAATCAGTACTAAAATAAGTGAAAAATACAAGAAATTTCTGTTCCATACTGTTGTGACCTGCTGTTGTTATCATACAAATAGTTAGGATTTCTCCATCTCCCACAAGATGGCAGAATCATTCATCTGTTTAAAGAATACAGAAAAAAAAATCTCTGGTTTTTGTGTGTGTGTGTGATGAAAAGGAATTAATGCAATCAGGTGTGCTATAGGAATCCTAATGTTTTGACCACAGAGATAATCTGGGTACAAATACTGAGCATTTTTCTTTTGAAACTATGTGTTACAACTTGTTATTCTTGAACTGATAATTTCAACACTACAAATATACAATTCATCAAAAATGGGGAACAGCAAGGATTGCAATTTTATTGATTTCATTGTGCAACCACATATAACAATAGGGAAAAGCATTTGTATAGTAACCTGAGAGGGAGGGAATTGCTCTTTTTAAACCGCATTCAGAATAAAAATATTTGTTTCTGGTGTATTTTTTTTTAAGGCTACCTTCGTTTCAGAACCTGCTGTCCTTGATGCTGGTCCCACTGAAGCTTCACCCAAGGGCAGCCCCTTCCCGACAGTAAACCACATCATAACAGTAAGTAAGATGGCCCCAGTAAATAACAAATCATTCTTACCTAAGTAATTTGTGTTGTCTGTCATTAATGCTAATGAAGTCTGGCACTGATCTTATCAGTAGCAAGACACATATCAAAGATCAGAGACCCTACCAGGTGTTTCCTTGGCTGTCACTGCAGCTGCCATGTGGCTCCTGGAGGAACTCAGCTGCTGGGTAGGCACCAGTGTAGCAGACCAGAGCTTTTGAAGCACTCTGGTTTGGGGACTTTGAGGGTGGTGTCCAGCTTAAGTGTTTATTCTCTTGTCTGGGCTCCCTCTCTAGCTAATGGAAGGAGCAGCATTTCCAGGGTCCCTCTTTTAGGAGGGAGAGGTTGAACTGCTACCTGGAGGTGACAATTTTTATGTTTTGATTGGAGGAGTAAGCCTATCGCTTACTAAGGGAAATGGCTGAGCCCCACCTAAAAGCAGGGTGGCTTTTAGAAATCTGAGTCACTTTTGTGAACTTCTCTAGCAAATCAACTCTCTGCAGACCTACCCTAATCTTGGTCATCTACCTGCAGACCTGAAACTATGGCTCTACTAGGAAGATACAATAAGATCAAGGTACCTAAATAATTGAGGTCAAAAAGCATCCTACTTTTATGAAGCCTGAAGTACCAGGAAGGAACAACTGTTTCTCCTACAGCAAATGCCAGAGGAATGCTTTGTTTGATTCCTCTTCTTCCAGCCATTTTTTATCCTTTTCCATGAATACCACTCAAAACCCAGCTAGTGGCAAAAAATGGAAGTTCATATATTATATAAAAGACTATAATCAAAGACCATGTTCACGTTTTAATAGCCACTCAGATTTTTTAAAATAATGGAATTTTACTAGTTGACTAAAAAAGTGAGCAAATCAACCATGCAAATTCTGTTTTTCTCTGATTTCCTGTGTTTGAGAACACAGTTTGAGAAAGGCTGAGCTGCAGCATTTGTCCATAATATGGACTAAGAAAAGTTTTCTGTTCAATTGCTTAAAGAAACTTATTTTGAGGCCCCTGGTCTTCAACATCATCTTGTGAAACATTTAGACCAGTTTTAGTTTCCGGATGAAAACAATTCCTTCAATTTGTGGGGTTTTTTTTGTCCAACTCTACTTGGTAGCTGTTTCTTATGGTCCTAATCAGCATGCAGGAAGCATGAGGCTTCTTGTTGGAGGAACTACTGTTGAAAGGGTTTATTCACACACTGCTAGTGTCCTGGATCTGTTGCAGTGGTATCTGACTTCTAGTGCTTTCATCCAGAAAGAGGAAATGACCATATTTTTATGTTGTGTGCCTTTTGGAAAAAAAATTCTTCAACTGTAGAGGGAGGAGGAGGAAGATAAGGCCAAGTCACTTAACTTAGAACACAGTACACAGAGGGAGTCAACTGGCTGAATATGTTCCAACTGTCAGAAGCAGCCCATGTGCAAGTTGTTTTGCATTTCTGGTTTTGTTTCTTTTTTGAAATCAAAATCTTTGTGCTGTAGCAAATAGTGTGTTATCGCCTGTAACCTAGAGCAGCATTCATCAGTGTTAGGGATTATGGACTTGCTGGGAGTATCCTGCTGACTTTGGAACTGCTCAGTATCTCATCTGCTCTTGCTTTGAAGTTTCTCTTATTCCTCAGTAACTGTCTTATCTGAAAGATAAGCCTGCCTTCTTACGGAGGACTTGCTTTGCATGTTCAGATAAGCAGGTGGCAGTAGGACCTTAATGCAGAATCTTGTTTTGTGCTAGGAATATAGGAAGGTTTGCTTCCTTTGTATTTCTGATCAGGTTTCAAGAGGAGATGGGTGCATCTATATCAAAGGAGGGAAGGAGAGAAGCATGATGGCAGAAAACCCAAAGACTTCTATTATTCTTCCTGCAAAAACTGAATGTGTGCTGGATGGTGCCCTTCTTCCTTCTCCCTCTCTTCCATGTCATCACTCTGCCCACCAGCAGATACTTTCTTCATCTATTTATTTTTATGGAATTTTAATAAACATTCTCTTTGCATATGCTATCTGTGATAACATTTGACTTGAATTTGCTAGCCATAGCCTTCTGGCCATCTCTTGCTATTGCCCATCCTGTCTCAGAGCCTGGTGCTCTGACATTGCAAAGGGCAATGCTGCTGCCAAGTCCAGGTTTGCCTTGGACTTGGTTACTCTGACTGCTTTTAAAAGGTTCTTATGAATTGGTAACTCATCCAGCCAAACTCAGTTTCAAACCCTTTGTGCCAACTTTCATGACAGTGTGAATGACCAGTAATTAATTGGACAAATGAAGTGTTCTTTCACTCTGAGTCACAGTTTTGCAAAGGAAAAATGAGAATCTCCCTTGTTTTTTATTATGATTATTTTACTGAACTGTGGAGGCCCCAGAACTTTAATTAAAATTAGATACTTTTTTACATACAGTATTTTGTAGACTTGCCTCAGTTACGCTAATCACACCTCAAAAACATGAAATGAGTTTATTTTACTTTGTTTAATATGTATATATCTAAAGAAAAATATTATAATTTAACTTAAATCAAGTCTTTGGATTTTAAAATGGTGATCTTAAAATAAGAATATGTAAAGATGTGCATCAAAATATAAGAGATTAAAATCACAGCTGATATGGCTGTTTACATGCAGACTGTGAGTAAAATACTGCATGTCTAACTACAGGGGTAGAAAAATCAGGAACGTAAACACAGGGCCCCATGCTGACTATAACAGAAGGAACTTTAACTTGGATTCTGGAGTTTTCATTTCCAGTTTTCTGTTATTTCCTATCCATGCTCTCAATCATAGAGCCAACTCTTCACAATCTTTCTCTATCATAAATTTTCATTCAAGCTCTGACTGAAATTTCCAATGGAGTTTTGTCTGACTGAAAGGTGAGTGTTGACAGATTTCAGCATCTCATATTACTTCATAATAGGCATCATCATGTCATCTTCTCTGATCCATTTTTGGCCCTATCAACATCATAAGGATATTAGATATTTCATAATTAATATCAAGTCTCTTAGATATTTCACTTCAATTTTTACCATATTATTTTATCTAATTTTATGCCTTTGCCCTGGGAATTTCCTCAATTAGATTTTTTTCATGTAGTTCACCAGGGGTACAAATGTCACTTATAGTGAAGATTTTAAAGGGAGGTTAAAGTAAGAATTATCAATTAGAAGCAATTGTGTAAAAAAAAAAGCTTACAGTATTGGAAAAATCCAAAGAACTCCATCAAACTACAAAACCCAAATGTCTTGGTTGTTCTGTTTAAAAATGCAGAGATTCCAAGTGTTCCTAACTACAGTGAAAAACCAGACATCTTCAGTGCACAAGAACATGTCTCAAAGTGAAATGTTCCTGTGCCTGCAGAAAGTGAATAAGCATATATACCATGCTCCCACAATACATAGGTTGTTGGCTTTCTGCCTCTGTCTCATATTGTTTATATGCAAGCTGTGAGAAATCTTAAATGGATGGGAATCCCAGCAGATACACCTTCTTCACTTTCAGCTGATACAGACTTTTCAGGAAAAAAACTTGATGCACATATACTAGTTAAAAAATTTTCAAAAATCTACATATCAAACCCTTTCTTTATTCATCTGAGCATGTTAGTTTTAAACATATCAGAAAACTGAAATCATACAACATAACATAATAAAACTTCTTTCTTGTTTTTTTAGTCATCATCTTACTTTGTTCAGTTTTAAAAGCAAAGCCAGTGGATTACTCAAGTCAAAAAAAAACAGTGTAAAAGAAGACAACTAAAGTGTGATTCAGTTCATATCATCAACAAAGCCAGGTTTCTTCTGAAGCTTGTTTCAAACAGGAAAGACCTTGCTCACATCACATACAGTGTTTGAGTGACCTGTTCCCATAGCACCATAAGACTTAATATTTCAAGTTTCTTTTGAGGAAGTGCTTTATCCCTTCTCCAAAACATTTTCATGACTCTTAATCGTGTCAGTTAAGGGCGTTGGTGTTTTGATGTTTGTTTGCTTTTTTTTCTATTCTGACAAGCTAAGTTAGTTTTAGAAGTCAGGAGTCTGACTCTTCACTGCCTTGCATCTTGGGCAGGTTTATATATGTTTGCAAAGAGGTCCTGTGCACACAGCCTTGTTGGTTCAGCTAACCCTGTAGTCATTGTGTGAGCTCCACATCATGAGTGGAGTGTAAGCACCCATCTGCCACGTGATTGCCTTCTCCAGTTCATCTGCTTGTTTTGTTCTGCTTTTATCTGAGCAACTGATTATTTCTGAGTCAGGATGAAAGACGAAACACAAAAGGTGTGTGGTGTAGACACTGTGTTTACCTCTATAGTGTAGTGGTTAGGGAACTTATTCTGTGAATTTGGAATTAAGTTCCTGCTCCCAACAAATGCTTCTGTTTGCACAGTGTATCTTTTTTCCTCTCTTCCTTTTAAGTAGTTTTCTCACCAGGACTTGGTCAGAGCATACTCACTTCAAACTTTAAATTCTTGCATTTTGCAGAGCTTGTAAGTAAAAAATGCTAAATATGAAAAACCTTGTCGTGGTTTTGCCCACCAGCCCATCCCTGGGGCTGAGGATGGTTTTGTCCAAGTGATTTCCGCACAAAAAACCAATCAAAAAGTTCAGTGACGCCTTTGCTAATTACATCTTTAAGAAAACGGAAGAGAAGGTGTTGGCGCAGTTGAAATTAAGAGCAGCAGCCATGTAGAGGGGTAGCGGGCCCGAGGAGGGCCAAGGCCCCCTCCTCCCCTGGCTTGGGCCGGGGGGGGCAGGTGCAGCACTGAAACCTCCCTTCTCTCTTGTGAAAGAGTGAAGGAAAAAAAAAGGTTTAAAAGACAAACTGCTTAGATGAGAAACCACTGCAGAAGAATTCCAGCCATGAGATAACAGGATTTTCAAGGTCGAAGCTGGCAGCACAGGAAAGAGAAGAAAAGTTCGAAGGGGGGAGAGCTGTTTTTTCTCCTTTTCGCTCTCTCTCCCTTCAGCAGGGTAAAGACTGAAAAATAAAACCCTGCC